GTTTTATCCAGGATTATTAACATTAAACAGATGAGTTAATGAGAGAACCTGCAGTCTGGTTCTGAATCTGGTCCAGATGTGTCTCTGTGGATCTCAGTCTGACCTCCACACCTGGAGAACAGACCTGAAGTTACTGATTTACACATTTCCTGGTCTCAGGAAGTCCAGGATGGTCCTGCAGTACCTGTGCTGTTTGTGTTCAGCTGGTTCAGATGTTCCTCACTGGTTCTCAGTCTCATCAGCAGCTCTGACATCAAATCAAATGTTCTGGATTATTAATCTTACAGAAACTCACTGAACTCTTGTCCTAAACTGTGTAACTCAGTGAAAACTGTACTTCTTGTAAACATGGAAATCAATCATCCTCCAGAAGATGAGCGAGACAAAAAGTAACAAATACAGATGATTCAAGTTTCCTCTCAGGTGTGTCCCACCTGTGTTCTGTGTTTTCAGTTCCTCTAGTTGTCTCCTGCTCTCCTCCAGTCCACTCTCTACAGAAACTAAGCGACTTGTTTCAGCTAACAAACAAACAAACAAACAAACAAACAAACAAACAAACAAACAAACAAACAAACAAACAAACAGGAAGTGATGAAACAATCTGATCATGTGACTGATAAACAAATTACTAAATTAAATCAATAAATTAAAGTTTAATGTCACTGTCACAAATTTTTAATTTGTGACCATCCATCCATCCATCCATCCATCCATCCATCCATCCATCCATCCATCCATCCATCCACCTATCCATCCAACTAACAAACAAACAAATTGGACCCGTTTGCTTGTTTCTAAGTTGACCATCATGTTTGAATTGGACCTGTGCTCAGTACCTGAAGAGTGCTGAGTTCAGCTGATGTTCAGCTGATATGTGAGGTTACCGTCAGTGTTTGYCTTCAGCTTGTGAAGCATTCCTCCATCAGGGATCATCTCCGATGATCTGTTAAAGGGCTGGAACTCTGGAGGAGAAATAAACAATCAAAACATCTGTTTCTGTCAGTTTCATCTTTTAACTGCAGTTTCTGTTGAAATATAACCAAGAAGTTTAGTTTCAGTAGAATTACTACAAGGAGAGTCACAAAAAAACTTTTCTGTTTATGATTTGGTCACTTTCAGGGAAACCTCCTCAGATTCCTGCACTAAAACCAACCAGTCGGTCATAAAGAGTTTAAACTCAAACCTGACCTGAGATCTGCTCCCTCAGGTCCTCCAGCAGACTCTCAGTGCTGCACAGTCTGGCTGCCAGGACTGAAAACCAGCAGAAAATACATTTACARTAAAACCTGTCAGAAGTCACAGCAGACGTCTCATATTCTGACATCTGAACAGTTAATGTGACACAAAGTCTGCAGAAGTTTGAGTCCATGGTAAGGAGCTGAGGATGACCTGCGTTCTTCCTCCTCAGCTGTTCCACCGTGTTCTCACTCGCTCTCAGTCTGGTCTGCAGGAACGGCAGCTCCGCAGCCAGAACTACAGAGAACCCAGCAGAGAGAGAGTTTTTACAGAAACTGATGAGCTGCAGCTGGATCTTTGCTGTTTGATCATCTCACCTGAGTTCTTCTTCCTCAGGTTCTCCACAGATCTCTCACTGCTGTTCATTCTGTGCTGAAGTTCTGACATTTGGACCAACTGGGCTGTGAGACAGAACACGAGACATGAGACCAGACTGCAGCYGGTCCATCTGAGGGCTCCTGTTCAGCGCAGACACCTGGGAYCAGCTTCCAAACMAACCATGACCTTTGACCTTTAACCTGCTGACTGAGCTGATTGCACTGTCTGAYCTTCAGGGTGAAGACTGCTGGCTRTTCTTCACTTGAGGTTAAATTTAAATCTTTTTTTGTCTTAATATATGAAACTATAGATTATTTATCAGCTGACCTGAGTCCACAGAGACTATAGACCTGACCTTGGCTCCGGGCCTCCAGCTCCTCCCTCCTCCTGGAACCRGAGCTCAGCTCTGACAGCACCGTCCTCAGATCGTGGACGTCCACCTGCAGCCGGTCCAGGTTCTGTCTCTGCCGCTCCGCCGTCGTCKCTCCGTCTCTCAGCCGGCTCTCCACGCTCCGCAGGGCTTGACGCTGTCCCACGCCCTCCCCTCTCAGGCTCAGGACCAGATCCTTCAGGCCCCTCAGCTCGTCCCGCAGGACCGTAAGCTCGTCCGCCCCGACCCCGGCGCCCGAACGCATCGGCCCGGACCCCTCCGACCAACACCGGCTGACCGAGCTGCAGAACATCAGCAGAAGAAAAGCAGCTGACCTCATCCTGCAGCCAAAACCTGCAGCTGAGCCGTTCCAGAAGCTTTAACACAATAATCCTGCAGGAAACCCTTCAGCGCCAGGAGGGACGGGTCCGGTCCAATCCGGTCCGGTGAGAAACATGTTCTGAACCCAAAAAACAGCTAAACACGGTCAACTATACCGAAACAAAAAGATACAGCCGAGGGGATTTAACTGTTAAACATGAAATTAAAATGAAGAACAGCTAAAAGCTAAAACTAGCAAAATGGTAGCTACAAGCTAAAATTAACAAAATAGTTCTTCCAACCTATAATTGGTAAAATATCACCCTCAGCTACAGGATGAAATGAACTGAACAGCTGGTAAAGATGAAGTTAGCAAAACATTAGCCACAAGCTAAAATTAGCTATATGCTAAATGAACAAAACAGTAGGTACAATCTAAAATTTGCAAAACATTAGCCACAAGCTAAAATTAGTTACAAGCTAAAATGAGCACAATAGTAGGTAAAAAATATTTGCAAAACATTAGCTAAAACTAAAATTGGCAAAACATTAGCTACAAGCCAAAATGAGCAAAATTGTAAAGATAAAATTAGCCTAACCTTAGCCACAAGCTCAAATTAATTACATGCTAAAKGAGCAAAATGGTAGGTACAAGCTAAAATTGGCAAATATAACCAAAAGCTAAAATCAGCTATAAGCTAAAATGACCAAAATATAGTACCTAAATATAAAACTGGCAAAATATCTGCCAAAATCTAAAATTACCTACATAATAAAATGAACAAAACAGTAAAAATAAGCTGAAATTTGTTTCTAAAACCTAAATAAGATTTTTTTTTGTAAGCAAGGTAAAATGTTTCAGAGTATAAAACTCAGAACCAAAAGTCTGACTCATCCAGATGGATAAAAAAAGTTTAATTTATTTAAGAAACTAAACATAAAAACCAACCTGAATGTTTTATTTGTGGAAAACAAAAAACACAAGAACCTGACTGYAACAACTGAAGCTAAAGTTTTAAAGATTTCTCATGATAAGAGCTCGATTTAGGGATGACCGTCAACTACTACCACCCTGAGGTTTATCAGGGGTTAAATGTTGGGCTGTGATGAAGACTCGACGGATCAGTTTCTCTTCCTTAAAGCTGCATACCAAATGTAATCATGATGCTAATCTTTGGCTCACATGTTGAACACAAAGCTCCTCAGAGGATCAACGTGCAGATTTGATTCAAAATAAAGTTACTGGAAACCCAGAGTTTAACTCAGCAGGAGAAAAGCTTCAGTTCCTTTCAGCCTTCAGAGGATTTCTGAGGTTTTACAGAACTTAAATTTCACTTAAGCTCATTTATCCCAACATGAACACATGAAGTGTAGTTTAAATGTGAGATTAACATTAAACGTCAGAGTTAAGCATCAGAGTTTAGTGAAGTTATATGTTGTGTTGGTAAATAAAGACGCCGCTCACACAACAACTACAGCTTTATTAAACACCAGAAGAACCGCTCACGTGCCTAAAGAATAATTCGTGCTCAGTCTGCGGAGACAACAGGTCCGAAAAATAAAACTTGGATAAAGACGACCCTCGTGAAGGATCAACAGGAAATGTTGATCCAGCTCCTCTGAGATAAAAGGTCCGTTTCCTCTGACCCGACCCAGTAGACGGTGGGGTTGGATCAGCGCTGCCCGGTGTATGCTCGGAACCAGGAAGTGACGGAGGCAGCGGCAGAMGAGATCATCCCTCCAGGGTTACTGGACGGCTGGGACACCTGCAGTGCACTCTGGGAAAGATCCATGGACTGCAAGAGGAGAAGACAGCAGAACATTTCAGTTTGGAGTTGGATTCTTTTACTAGATCCGTCTTAGTCAACTCAAAAAGGTTCGACCCGAACAGCAGCCGACCTGAGAGGGGATGTCACAGAACCGCGGACTGGGCACCGTCTCCCAGTCCGTCCCCAGGTCCGTCTCCTCGTCCGTCACCGCCTCATCTCCGCTGTCCTCCGTCGGCCCCGACGCCTCCGGTTCCACAAACTCCATGGACTCCTCCAGGTCAGCGCTCACCTCAAACGGGCCGGTCCTGCAGGCGGCAGAGGGAACACTGATGGTCAGCACCTCACCTGCTGGTTAGTCTCACGGTAAATACAAACGTTTGGTTCTGTTTGCTGCTTTAGTTCAGCACCGAGGACAGTTCTGTGACGAGAACTGGACCCGTCCAGTCGTTACTTTGAATTCATTATTTTCCTGAATCTAAAAATTATTTCTAATCGAGCAGACATGTTTATCTCACAAGCCGTGTTTCAATCAATGTTTATGTGCATTTTGAAGAATCGCATTAGAAAAGGTGGATGAAAACAGAAAAATCTGCAAAAACTTACTCAAATACGCAAAAATGTTTAGATATTTGCTTGAGGTGGATTTCAGATTTTCTGAAAAAGAGTTGATGCACAAAAGAGGAGATGGGAACACATTTGCTGAATAAGTTCTGACACTGGTGGGCAGCGTTAATTAAGATTTTAGTTGCGCAATTTCTAAAGCGCTAGTCAATTTATTTAGGTCCACAGGTTCAAAAGCGCATACACTCAATAAAACTTAGCGGAAGCTAAATTTAATAAAGAGCAAGATTATCTCCGTTTACCAGAAAACATTCAGGTAAGAGACAAGTCAGCACTTTACTGCCATCTCGTGGAAAGATCATACTCTTTCACAGTTTAACACATTTCATCACAGTATGGGGAGGTGATTTGTAGAAACAGACTTTTAAATCATGGTGTTAAAACAGAAAATAGTTGTGGATTGTTAGTTCTGCTGCTTCTTGGTCGTTTTCTTRTGTTTATGGCAGGGCTTCAGTAAGAAAACATGCAGATATATTAGTCATTTTAAACTGTTGTAAAACTGAAGCGAAGCATTCTGGGTAGGCTACAGACGAAGGACAGGAAACCTGTTCATTTCAAAATAAGAGCGTGAATTTAAATTGTTCCGAGTTTCTTTCACTTCTTTTTTGTGACGTTTTAAAAGTTTGCTCAAACATTGGATGAAAACAYGGCTACAGGCTGGACATATATKTAACRTATTTACATKGAGGCGTGTCAGGGGGAGGAGTCTGACGTGCGCTCAGCTGTACACGAGGCCTCAGTTTGTTCTGAACACATCTGGTCTCACCTGCCCAGGCTGTTGTTGTCAGGAGCGATCAGAAACATGACGTTCCTCAGAGTGTGGTGTGGGTGGAGCTTATCACTGTCCACGTGCTGAGAACACACAAACAGCTGGTGTTGATTTTCACACAGTCGATGCTTTAAACTGTTTTACACGTCTCATTTTATAAACCAGTTTTATCTTTTAAAACTACATGTTGTAAAAATCCATAAAGAGTTTATTTGTGTCCTCAGAGCTGGTTTCTGATCCGACACCTCAGGTTTCAGCGTCTGACCTGCGAGAAGCACAGGTGCAGGATGTTGGTGTTGAGTTTGCTCAGGGATCTGGTGAAGCGGTAYCGGCTGAGGTTCTCTCCGCAGAACTCGCTGAGGAAAAAACACAGAGGAGCAGCTGTCAGGTCCAGGTCCACACGAGACCGCAGCAGGGTCTGGGGCGGTCCGGCTCCTACCTGTTGCAGAGCTTCTTGGGCAGGTTGACATCCAGGATGTGAGACAGGATGGTGACGAGCTGCGTGGCGTAGCAGAGGGCGGCGCTGATGGTGTGGGCGGGGTTAATGTGGTCCAGTTCTGCAGAAACACGATGACACGGTCACTTAATGGTCTTTAATCTCACTTTGAGTGTTTTTAATCTGCAGGTCCCTCCCCAACCCACCCTGGCCCCTCCCCTCGGCTCACCTGGACCTGGATTGGCACTCTTCTCCTCCACCCAGCTGTAGTAGGCGGAGTAGTCTCCGTTGCTCGGCAACACGACGGGGGCTCCCGTGATGCTGAYGCTGGTCTCTCCGTTCTGGTCGTCCCAGATCCAGCGTCCCGACAGGTAGGTGGTTCTCCGGGCCTCGGCCAGCTCCGTCACCGTGCTGGAGGTGAGGACGGGGTCACACTCTGCCATCACGTCCGCAGGGTCTCTGACGGACAGACGCAGGGGTCAGACCAGTCAGATGATTTATACACATAAATAACAAACACAAACATTTATTATAACATTATAACTTTCATAGTTCTGCTGCCTCATATTTACTGATGTTTGCAGAGAAATTCAGACAAAAACTTCTGAAGTAGGGCTGCAGCTAACGATTGTTAGTAATCAGTTAATCTATTGATTATTCTGACGGTTAATCGAGTAATCTGATGTAAAAACTTGTCATGTTCTGCAGTAATTATTTAAGCTTATTTTATGAGAAATATACATTTAATATTGTGAAGAGGTAATCTACACCTGCTGATGACCCTGTTGCAACCTAAGTAAAATTACACCAGTTGTATTAATTAATGCATTTTAAACTCCATTTGTTTGTGTTTATGTGTGTGAGGTTTGAGGAGGCATTAATTAAAAAAACTCTGTCATTGAATCATTTTTAACCATCACTGAAAAATCTAAATGCTGTAAATTCATTGTTATGGATTGGAAAACTGAATCTTTTTTTTTGTTGTTAGAAATTTATTAAGTAAAAAGGGTAATATAAACATTTAGGTGTTGCAATTGAGTTTTGTAGAGTTCACTTGTTAACTGTAACAAAAAATTCATATTTTTTGTTATTAGGTTGGTGCAGAGTTCCCATTTAAAGATTTAGTCTTGACTGCTTGGCTACAAACAAACATGACAGTAGTAATGAAGGCTAAAGTCCTAAAAAAACAGCAGCTAATAATTAAAATAATCCAACCATCTTCTATAAATACTTTTAAACTTGAAATATTCACTCCAGGTATCTCATTTAAACCAATATAAAAGCATATCAACAAATAAAAGTGTTTCAGCTCAAGCTGTCAATCTGTTGCTGTGCTTTTATTTTTATCTGACAAACTTACAGTAAGTCTTGCTTTTAATCACACAACTTACACACTGTTTAATAAAACCCTGCCAGGTCACCGTGATTAGTCAGCACAAATATCATCACAGAGGTAACCAAAGTGAACGTAAACAAATACCTGTTGTTAACTCCGGACGTGTTTGGTACATGCAGCAGCTGTTTTTGTTCTGGTGCAGAAACACCGAGGATGTGCAGAGTATTGTGCATTGTTGTCTTTTCTGTTTAGTTTTAAACGTTCCCATGCTTTTTATAATTTGTTGTTTTCTGAGCGCTTCGTTTCGGCACTCTTCGTCTTCTTCTAAAGCTAAATATAGCTTAGCAAGCATACACACATGGCGCGTCGACAGTGTAACAGTTAGCGGAAGTGCTAACATCGTAGCATTGTGTGTAACACAAATAACATTCCGGCTGGACAAAAGCGTGCGGATTACATAATAAATATTATGTGTATGTGTGTGTGTGTGTGTGTGTGTGTGTGTGTGTGTGTGTGTGTGTGTGTGTTTTACGAAGCTTCGAGGCAGATAATTTGCCTCAAGGATTTTTTGTAATCAAATAACTCGAATTATTCGAGGAATCGTTTCAGCCCTGTTCTGAAGATAAAAGATGACGGTTTTGTTCAGACCTGAGCGACAGCTGCTGACTCCACTGACCTGCTGCCCTGCTTCTCCTCCTGCGTGGGGAAGATGTGCGTGCTGAGCTCCAGGATGTGTTCTCGCCTCAGGGCCGCCAGCTGGACCAGTCTGGTCTGGTGGTCCTGGGCTCGTTTCTCCAGCAGCTCCCCCAGACGCCGGTTGTGGCGCTCGATCTTGTCCCTCTTCTCCTGGTGGCGTCCCGCTCGGCGCTGCAGCCKCAGGGTCTCCTCCTGGGAGCGCAGGAGAATCTCCCTGTCTGCGAGGAGAGGAAGTGGGGGGGGATCAGGAGGCGCAGCGGGTTAAACGTACGGATCAGAAGTCTCGCAGACTCACCGCTCTTCACCCTCTCGTTGCCACAGCCGACCGCCTCCTTCAGCTGCTCGATCTTTATCTTACACAACATGATCTTCCATTTCTGACAGGAAACAGCAGTTTGTTCACTCGTCTAACAAAACCTAAACATCATTTCAAACTGAACGCCTCATCAGCTCAGAGCTCACCATCTCATCCGTCTGCAGCCTCCGGCCCATCACCTGCAGAATCCTGACAACAGATTGGAGTTGAACCGTTTGCAAAATCATTAAACCTGAGATCCATCCAGAAACTACGAAAGGAAATAATGTTTTACCTTTGCTGCAGCTCCTCCTGCTCCTCCTTCAGCTTCTTCAGCCGCCCCACTTTCTCTGAGTATCTATAGATAAACATCGACACAATAAGACGGAGGATTTTATCTTTATTTTATTTATTAACCCTTTGTTTAACCAGGAAATCCTACGAAGAGTAACCACTAACTGACTCAGAAATGATCACATGAAGAAAACCACCAAGATAAAAACGTTAAAAATTATCTCTGAATGACTGCTGAGGTCTGCTCAAGAGTTAAAGCTAAAATAAATCTAAACAATAGCTAAAAGTAGCTATATTACATTAAAACTACAAAGCAAAAAAGGCCAATTAAACGTTTAAAAAAGCAGATTAGCTAAATTCTAAACAAAAAGAAATAAATGTATTAAAAGGCTAAGCAAAAGTTAAATGTAGCAAAAAACTAGACACAAGCTCCATAAATGAAAGTAGCAAAATATTAGATATAAGCTCAAAGTATCTAAAAGTAATTTTAAAGCCAAATAGCTGAAAGTAACAGAGTGGTAGCTAAAAGTATTTAAAGGCAAGCTTCAAACTAAATAGCTAAAAGTGAAAGAAGAGTAGCCAAAATTAGCAAAAGTCTGGTTTAAAGCTACATGTAGCACAACAGTAGTTCAATTCTGAAAGTGCCAAAAGTTTAATGTAGCAAAATTGTACCTTAAAGTTAAAATGGCTCAATAAAAGCTGAAATTTTTACAGTTTATAAAAGTAACATTAGCAAAAAAGCCAAAGCATGTATTAAAGCAAGCTTACACTACAGCTAAAAAGATTAAAGTAATAGAATAGTATAGTAGAATAGTAGCTAAAATCTAAATAACCGACCATCAGCTAAAGTAACAAAAGTAATAAAATAATGTATAACTGTAACTGAAAGCTAAACTACAAAAATGCTAGCTAAAAGTTAAATAAAAGCTAAAAGTTGAACAGTGTATAAAAACAGGCTGGCTTAACTTAAAAGTAAATGTAAAGGTAAATTTACAGCTAAAATCTAGTAACAGACAAGTAGCTAAAAGTAACAAAAGGCTAGCTAAAGTCCATCAGAACTTCAACCATGATGTTACTTCAATGTGCTTTTTTGTTAGCAGTTAAAATAAGAAGCGTTTAGCTCTGGTCCACCTGTTTTTACCTGCGTGTTAAAGTCCAGGAACAGAACTCAAGACTTGTTTACCTTTCGGTGTTCCTCCCGTCGAAGTAAACAAAGTCTCCGGCCTGGATGCACCGGGCGCAGGTGAGCCTGCGGCGGGAGGTGGTGCACAGAGGACACCGCTCCACGGCCACGTACAAACCCTCGGCGTCGTCCACGGACTCCGCCATCACGCAGCCCGGCGTGGAGACGGCAGAGTGGGGGTACTGGCGAGGAAGAGGCGGCTTGGCTCCGGAGGATGATGCAGCTGGGTCGGGGCCGAGCGGCTGGAGCCCCGCGGATAAAGACGCCATAAACGGGGAGCGCTAAGCTAAGATGCTAAACTGTCCCGGCTGAACGGAACCATCCACGGGTTCTAAAGCAGTTTCCGGTTCGTGGCTTGATCCACTCTACATGATTCAAGCAAACTTTAAATGTTTCCTTAGATGGACATGACTGACAAGCTCCAAATGTTTTTGTTTTGATTGCTGTGAACCCTCCACTTCCTGKTTTTCCTCTTCTTCGACCGCTTTCTGGAAGGTTACTTCCTGTTAACGTAAAGTTTCCGCCACCTGCTGGACTGGAGGCATAACGAGACTGCGACCTGTGCTGCCTAAATAAATCACAATCAGCAAGTTTTCAATATTAAATTATTATTTTAGTTTGTTGAAATAAAAGATAAATTTGAACAGAGTTAGAAAATGATTGAAAGATAATGAGAAATGTAAATATTCTGAAAGCTGTGGAGAGTACAAATATATGTTGACAGAAATACATAAAGAAAAATAGAAATATATTGAAGATTCAGACAGCCTGCAATGTTTAAAAACCCAAATTTAGTTCAACAAAACTTTCAGAAACATTCAGGATGTCAAGAAAAGAAATTCAAAATTTATTTACAAATGAGCAAGTTGGTGATGTGACACAAACTGGAACATAAACAATAAATATATATTACATTTATTTACATAAGAAAACAGAAATGTCAGCTTCGTCACTGCTTCCTGAAACCTTTCAGGATGGGATAAATGTTCTCAAAAGCTTCATAAATCTCCGCTCGTTCTTTAGCTCCTGAAATACAACAAATGATCAAAGAATTAATCCAACTTCAGAAGATTTAAGACCTGCTGCTGTTTGTAAAAGAATTGACTGTGGGTCAGTCAGGTTAATCAGTAAGAATTTATAATCATTATTTTAAAGCTGTTTACCTGTCAGAACCACCTTCCCAGATACAAAAATGAGCAGAACGATTCGAGGTTTCACCATCCGGTAGATGAGGCCTGGAAATAACTCGGGCTCATAACTGTGGAGAAAACATTTGTAAAATAAATCTGATCAAATGACTTTAAATGAATAAGCATCAACGCAAAAAACAGCTAAACTTTAGCTAAAGTAAAACTGTAGCAAAAAGTTCAAACTAGCAAACATGTAGCTGAAAGAAAAAAAGAGGCAATGTTAAACATAAATTCAAAGCTAAAAGCAAAATCTTAGCCACAAGCTAAATGTTGCACAGCCTTAGCCACAAGCTAAATGTTGCACAGCCTTAGATACAAGCTAAATGTTGCACAGCCTTAGATAAAAGCAAAATGTTGCACAGACTTAGCCACAAGCTAAATGTTGCACAGCCTTAGATAAAAGCTAAATGTTGCACAGACTTAGATACAAGCTAAATGTTGCACAGACTTAGCTATAAGCTAAATGTTGCACAGCCTTAGATAAAAGCTAAATGTTGCACAGACTTAGCTACAAGCCAAATGTTGCACAGCCTTAGATAAAAGCTAAATGTTGCACAGCCTTAGATAAAAGCTAAATGTTGCACAGCCTTAGATA